CTGTCCTTAATAGGGTAGGATTTTGAACGAAGTACTTTTGTGTTGAACTTTAACTTTTAAGTAAAAGGTCTGAACGGGCCTTCTTCTTCCGTCACTAGATATAACTGTGATCTTCCTGATATTCCTGATATTTCTCTGCTGCAGTCACACTTTATTTTACATTTTGTGTTGCATTGTTTTCAGCTTGCTGGCGCTGCTACGACATCATTTTACCCACATCCATAAAGTTACGTCTTATCTGCCTCTACATAAAGTTAAGAGTAAATGGTCCCATTGTATGTACTGTGTTGTGTGGCAGGTGCGCTCCTGGACAGAGGGAGCGCTGTTGTACTGTAGTGCCTACTGGAAAACTACTGTCCTACATTAACGCTGTTGTGCAGCCATCATATCAGAGATATTGGATAAAGCGAGATTTTCTTTATTTTTTCTTTTTTTTTTGCATTTGTTTTTGTTTTTTTGTTGTTGTTTTTTATTTAACAGTTTTTATTGAACATGTTGCACATCATTTACAAATGCACACAGTAGCCATCGTGCAATTTCAGAGTGCATTCAACAAAATAAGCCAGGGGGTCATGACACAGAAAGGATTTAAAAAAAAGAAAAAAGAAAAAAGAAATAAATAAAATAGGAAATAAAAGGAAAAACAAGTATTTAAGGCATATCAGACCAAAGTCCAGCAGTCAGTCCAAGCATCCTCTCAGATCAAGCATCACATCACAATCCAGCACCACATAAACTGTGTTCAAATACAGATTTTAAGTTTGACGCAAACATTAATTGTTTGTAAGGCCTTATTATTGGTAGAGGATTTTATAGATTCTAAGTACTGTTCAAACTCTTTGTATAAAACAGTGCACTTGTGAACATGAAATTTGGTTAGAATGATCAGTAGATTTATCATATACGCCTTTTCATGCAATTTCCTATCATTGGGGTAAAAACCAAATAAAACATGCTCATACAATAATACAAAGTCCTTGCAAACCATGTAATTAATAAATTTAACAACATCTTTCCATAATTTACTAGAGAAATGACATTTCCAAAACAGATGAGACACAGTTTCTGGATGGGCTGCACACAGAGAACAATTTATATTTAGATCTTGGATAAAGCGAGATACTCCACTCAGGCAAAGTTATTGAAATGTTCTATAATGACATAAACAGTTATATTTCTCTTAATCCAGGAATGACTCCAAGAATAAACGTTTCCCGTGGAATCAGACAAGTATGTCCCATATCGCCCAAACTCTTCATTTTATGCACTCAGCTACTGGCATACTTGATTTTAAATCACTCTGAACTAAAAGGAATTACATTTTTTGACTACGAATTTTGGATTAGTCAGTTTGCTGATGATACTGTATTTTTTCTAAAAGATAAATCAATAATAGAGAAAGCTTTAAACATAATTTCTATATTTTCCAAAGCATCTGGTTTGAGTTTGAATTTGAACAAATGCGAACTACTTCCACTATATCCTTGCAGAGATGATGAGATACTGTCCATTCCTGTAAAAAGTGAGGTGAAATATTTAGGAATAAAATTAATTAAAGATGTCAAATTAAGGGAGGAAAGAAATTTTCATGAAAAACTAGAGATTATGAAAAAAAACCTAAATCATTGGCTTATAAGAGATCTATCAATTTTTGGCCGAAACATATTATCTAAAGTGGAGGGCATATCGAAATTGGTTTATCCATGCCAGTCTTTGTATGTTAATTCTCAAAGCATAAAGAAAACGAACTCCATAATATACAATTTTATATGAAGAAATAAAACACATTATATTAAAAAGTCACATTTGGTTAAAGATACTAAGAAAGGAGGTTTAAAAACACTAGATATAGAATCAGTGGTAGGGATGTTTAAGGTAAATTGGATAAAAACCTTTCTGTCACAAACTGAATCTATCTGGTTTCATATCCTCAAAAATATATTTTAAAAAAGTAGGAGGGTTTGAATTTTTGTTACAATGTGATTTTGAAGTCACAAAATTACCATTGAAATTGTCAAAATTTCATGAACAAGTGTTGAGATACTGGAAAATGATATTTGTCCACAACTTTAGTCCACATAGCTCCACCTTGTGGAACAATAGAACAATTACATCAAATAGAAAAACCTTATTCAATCAAAAATGGTGTGATAAAAAAATAATTTTTGTTGCTGACATGTTGGATGAACATGGTTCAATCTTACAACTCAACTCTTTAAATGAAAAGTTCAACATGCAGTGCTCTTAGGGAATACAGCAAAATATGTAAAGCTATTCCAGTTCCACTAATACAGTTGATAAAAAAATACTGTCTCTCATTCCAATGTACAGATAGTCCTACCAGATTTAAAAATTGAACAAATGCTAATTACTGATAAAAAATGCAATAATAAAATAATACGAAAGGTGTTCATGCAGAACCTTTTTTTATGGTCATACAAGGGCAACAAACATTAGAATGAGAGAAAGTAATCTAAAAATTGTAAACAATTTTACAAAATATCTGAAATGGCCAATCACCCCAAAAGCCAAAGAACTGCAATTTAAAATTATTAATGGCTATTATCCAGCTGCAGAAACATTAAAGAAAAGGTTTGGATTTGAGGTTGAGCCATGTTGTTTTTGTAATGCGGATTGTGAAACTACTGAACATCTTTTTTATTCTTGTTCAGTGACNCAATACGATATTTGCCACGATACGATTACCATTTGATGCGATTTAGGAGCCTGTGATCGATATGACATGATATTATACGCCCATAAAACACAGTCTGTTACAGAAGAAACAGCCACAGTTTTCTTTTCTACTTTTGGCCATAAAAGAGTGCAGTACCCTTCACTTAAAACTAGTCTCTATATACAGACTCTACATTCATGTAGAGTCTGTAGGCAAACCCCAGAGGCCTTGCATCCGGAAGAAGAGCGGAAGAGCCCTGGTTTCCGCTTGCAAGCTGTTTGTAGTCCGTGTGATATTGACCAATCACGTTTGAGCCAGCTGCAGTCGTTGCCAGGTTAAATGGTCCGTGCGGTGAACCAACAAGGCAGAACATAATTGGCGTCACTGCAAACTCTGAATCCATCACAATGCTTCAGCATATTTACTTATATATGAACAGAAGTCAGAAACGGAAATTCGCCTCCTCCGCCAAAATCAAACCGGAATGCCAAAAAATCGGGGGTCTGCCCCCAGAGGCTATATCACCATCTGCCAAAGTCAGACGCCAAATACAGCCGATGGGTTCCGAGAATGCTAAAAACTGACTCCACTAGCATATATAAAACAGCACATGGGATAAGTTAACCTTCAGGGCTTTATGTCAGAGAGACATTTCTGGAAGAAATTTTTTAATTTTAACCCAAACCATCATCTTTTTCCTAAACCTTCTGGACTATCTGGTTTAAATCCCTGAAGGCAAACTTCTCCAAACAGCCATAAAACATGGATTAACAACAAGATCATTTATCAACAGAATCAAATTCGGCTCAGTAATAACTGTCAAGATTCAGAGACAAAACAATTGTTTTTTGCTAGTGACTTATCATAAGCTTAAGCATGTTTAAGCTTAAGCATAAATGAGCCTAGCTGCTTGCGGACTTTTTTTTCTTTACTCGTTGATTAATAAATTACATGTAACGTTATTATTTTTCTAACTCACTGTTGCTTTGAGTCACTGTATCTCCTGACAAATGCATGTTTTTTAGCCAAACATCATTGAAACAAAGCAGCTAATGTTGCTGTAGTGAGAAGCTAGCAGAATGATACGCATGTCCAGGCAGGTAACATTACGTTGTGTTTTATCTTGTAACAGCATTGTTTACATACACCACGTCTGTTGACCTGCATTTTCTCCGAAATCCAAAATATTTCCACACTGTTGATTTATTCCTGCGTAAACAACGTTATCTTTATTGTCTTTTTCTTGGCTGCTTGCTATCTGCCTGCTGCTGCTTGATGGTGACATAGGCTTTCAAAATAAAAGCGCACGCTAAAGATGACGATATGGATTAATGTTTTCATTTTGCATCAATGACATTGGATCGTGGATCATTGAATCAATATATCGATCCAGATCTATGGATCATTATACCCCTAGTCTATAACCTATTTTTAGTGGGTTTTCACGTGTTTAAGAAACCCGCATACACATGATAATTTGGGTGGAAAAGTGTCATAAGAGGCTAATTTTTAAGCTAGCGCAAATATAGTGGTTGTATCTTGTGATGGTGACTTGTAAAACCAGACAATCTAAAACATCATTGATACCAGCCATGTAAGCATAGCTTGTTGGGAAGGTGGCCATTTTCAAAGGGGTCCCTTGAGCGCCCACCTCAAGATATCTGAATGGAAATAAGTTCTATGGGTACCCACGAGTCTCCCCTAAACTCAAGAAAGCTTCCTTTCAGTTAATATTTTGTTCCTTTCAATCAACGGGAGGGGAATCAATTTANCTTGTTGATTTTATTTATAATGGGAATATCCTTGTATTGTAACAAGAATGCACATGTTCCTATCGAGAGCTTTTGTATATTATTGAAATGTAAATAAAGTTTACAAAAAAAAAGAAAAAAAAAAGATACGCCACTCAGCTCACTTCCTGATTCAGTGCAAGGCTATTCAAGAGAAGGCTGAGACACGGGGTCAAACATGGGGGGATTTCCGCCCCTGTCGCAGTGTAACTTGAGCTGCGATGCTGGAGGGTGACAGCAGGGGCGCTAGATAAAAAGCGCAGGATCCGCTCAGGCGATCAAGGAGTGCGCTTGGTGCAGTCTGCTTGGACTTTTGGATGGCGGCTGCCTGAAGTTGTCGGAATTGCATCTCTGTCATTCTCATCCACAACGCAGGCCACCAGTGACAGTCCAGTAATAAGCTGTGAAAATGACATGCATACACATCCCCCTTATTTCGCGGTCTCACGCCATCTACTGAGCCTTTGAGGAAGTGCAGACCATATTTTACTGCGCATGTGCAATCCCCCCATGTTTGAACCCCGTGTCTCAGCCTTCTCTTGAATAGTCTTGTCCGCATCCCGGGTGTCCACGTATTTCTCAGTTATTTTGACCAAGTTAAACTATCCAGTTTTGCATTTCAGATAGCACTGCTACATTTTACAACTGTCGGCATCGTTTTAAGGACAGCAGACGTCCGTTTCCTCCATTTAAAAAGCCGAGTATCACAAACTCGCTGTGACAATGTCGACTGCCGTGAACTTCCATTCTCAGATTGCCTCCATCATGGAGGTGCTTGCTAACGCAGCCGTCGCAGAAATTTGTAAAGTTGTGGACGACGGATACGCAGCGGTTCACGTGGAAATGTCCCGGAGCCAGAAGGAGAACGAGTTCCTGCGCAGGAAAATCAAACTGCTGGAGCTGCAGATCGCCAGGTACCGGGCGGAGAGAGTCAAGGGGTCGGAGGGCTTCATCGGCAGCCGCTTCCCCGGGGTCCGCCTGCTCAACCGGCAGAACAGAGACGCACTGGCGGGTATGTAGCCCCGTTAATGCTGAACCCCGCAATCCCCAGAAACCTGGATGAGGTGTTTACACGCCACTGTGTCCTGGTCTCTATTGGAGTAACGTTGTACCAGGTAGTATAACAAGGTTTCAGAAATCGGGATATGATATGTGCATCTGTAACACATAGTCCAAACACATACTCAAAAACCCTGCTCAGAACCAGGACACTTATGCACATGTGTTTGGGTTAAAGTCTTAAGCCATGAACCTTTCTGAAACATATAGGCAGTGGCGCTCCCAAGAGGGGGTTAGAGAGCCATGGCCCCCCCATAAATCATTAAAGGCTGACATTATGGTCTTTAAAGCCCCTTTCCCACTGCGCAACAAAACAGACACCTGTTAACATCTGGCTTTTGTATGTAATGTAATTACAATTGATATTCACACCTGGGACAGTTTACTTTGCAGTAGTTATGGCGGCTCTGGCTCCAATCAGCAGTGATGAAAATACAACATGTGGATGAACAGGCTAATTTTAGTCCCTTCACTGGTGAGATACAATGTTGTGCCACCACAATATACCGTCTGTCTCTGTCCATGCAGTCAGCATCAAGTTTGAAATAGAGACTGAATAAGTAAAAGCTTTAACAAGAAGTTATCATCATAACATTTTCACTGGACTCCATGCTGCTTTTGTCTGTTTACTTACTTGTATGTCAGCCTGTCCCTCACGTGGAACATGACACATCAGTAAAAACAAAACAAAAGAAAGGCATGTTTGTCTGCTGCAGAGCCATGTTCACAGCTCTAGTCCACTGGCAGTGGGAAAACAGTCTGTAGTAGGAGTGTAAATCACCAGTTTCATCACGATACTATATCATATTGATTCTTTGAACAACAATACGATATTTGCCACGATACGATTACCATTTGATGCGATTTAGGAGCCTGTGATCGATATGACACGATATTATGCACCCATAAAACACAGTCTGTTACAGAAGAAACAGCCACAGTTTTCTTTTTTACTTTTGGCCATAAAAGAGTGCAGTACCCTTCACTTAAAACTGACTCCACTAGCATATATAAAACAGCACATGGGATAAGTTAACCTTCAGGGCTTTATGTCAGAGAGACATTTCTGGAAGAAATTTTTTAATTTTAACCCAAACCATCATCTTTTTCCTAAACCTTCTGGACTATCTGGTTTAAATCCCTGAAGGCAAACTTCTCCAAACAGCCATAAAACATGGATTAACAACAAGATCATTTATCAACAGAATCAAATTCGGCTCAGTAATAACTGTCAAGATTCAGAGACAAAACAATTGTTTTTTGCTAGTGACTTATCATAAGCTTAAGCATGTTTAAGCTTAAGCATAAATGAGCCTAGCTGCTTGCGGACTTTTTTTTCTTTACTCGTTGATTAATAAATTACATGTAACGTTATTATTTTTCTAACTCACTGTTGCTTTGAGTCACTGTATCTCCTGACAAATGCATGTTTTTTAGCCAAACATCATTGAAACAAAGCAGCTAATGTTGCTGTAGTGAGAAGCTAGCAGAATGATACGCATGTCCAGGCAGGTAACATTACGTTGTGTTTTATCTTGTAACAGCATTATTTACATACACCACGTCTGTTGACCTGCATTTTCTCCGAAATCCAAAATATTTCCACACTGTTGATTTATTCCTGCGTAAACAACGTTATCTTTATTGTCTTTTTCTTGGCTGCTTGCTATCTGCCTGCTGCTGCTTGATGGTGGCAAAGGCTTTCAAAATAAAAGCGCATGCTAAAGATGACAATATGGATCGATGTTTTCATTTTTGCATCAATGACATTGGATCATGGATCATTGAATCGATATATCGATCCAGATCTATGGATCATTATACCCCTAGTCTATAACCTATTTTTAGTGGGTTTTCACGTGTTTAAGAAACCCGCGTACACATGATAATTTGGGTGGAAAAGTGTCATAAGAGGCTAATTTTTAAGCTAGCGCAAATATAGTGGTTGTATCTTGTGATGGTGACTACCTAAACCAGACAATCTAAAACATCATTGATACCAGCCATGTAAGCATAGCTTGTTGGGAAGGTGGCCATTTTCAAAGGGGTCCCTTGAGCGCCCACCTCAAGATATCTGAATGGAAATAGGTTCTATGGGTACCCACGAGTCTCCCCTAAACTCAAGAAAGCTTCCTTTCAGTTAATATTTTGTTCCTTTCAATCAACGGGAGGGGAATCAATTTATTGACCACAGTTTGTCTGACTCTGGTATGATAGGGGGCGATATGCCCCCTTTCAGCTTGTTAGTATTGGATCTTTTTTCCGGTTGACCTATTTCGTCACAGACAAAACAATTGACAGTTAAGTTAACTACGGTTAGCTAGCAGCAAACTGGTACCGTGTTAGACAACTTTACAGCTCTGTACATATTGTATTGTTTTGTATTCTTTGGATGTAGATTTCACCATATTATTACTGGCCTCTTCTTCTGTTACACATTTAATGCTATAATATCTGGGTTAAAGTCTGGGTGGAAACTGTGGAGTGTGCACAGAGCGTCAAGGCCAATTTGGGTCTGATTGATTGTATACATGCAGGAGTAATTCAACTCCCAATCACATTAACTGGTGTGCATTAGTGCCAGTCACTTTACAAAACCGTGGCAAGATGGAGCCAAAGAAGTTATCCCCATTAGTTCTAGTACACCTAATGTTAATAGAAAGACAGAAAAAAATCTCATCATGATGTAGTTACATTATAACCACTCTTGTATCTGCCATCAACAAGGATGTGAATTGATAAGATATTTTTATACCAGTGCCATTATTCGTTCTGCTTATCAACCAGATTCTTAGCCAAATTCCCCTAGTGATTCCTGATCAGTTTTCTATGTGGGGAAAAAAGGAGGCCTACTTGTGATTTCGGTGTCAATACAAGTGTTTTATCATCTCTGAGTCTGAAAACAGTGTAGCAACAGTCTTTCTGTCATCTGAAATGGATGAAATGAGAGAATATTTGTGTAGTGTTTGTTTTCATTTAGTTTTCTTAGTCAAAGAAAAAATCTGCTAAGCCTGCCTGCATGGTGATAAGATTATTATAACATTACCTTCAGTAACAGATATGCTACTGGGTTAGGAAGAATAGGCACTTGTTCATATGGCATTCCTGGAATTTAAGCCGTGTTGCATAGCAAGATGTTTCAGCATATTTCTGGTGCTTCCACCCTTAATTAAAATTATGGTTTTACAGACATACAAGTAGCACTGTTGTCATTTTTCTTTGTGAAACAAAGCCATACTTTGGACCGTTTCTTACCGTCTGCCATGGCACCTTCGTGTTGCAAGTTTCCAGCAGCGTACAGTACAGGCCAAAGTTTGGACACACCTTCTCATTCAATGCGTTTTCTTTATTTTCATGACTATTTACATTGTAGATGCACGAGTTTGACCTAAGAAAAATGTGCCAGTATCAATCAAAGGAATTGATAAGTTCAGAGGCATACAATTCTCATTGATCAGACACTTTGGAACTGGTTCTCAACTAGAACTGGTTTTTGATTCCCAACATTTACCATCTGTGTTTTATGCTCACTTTCCCCTAGTTGTTATCACTTGCTATAGATGTCTTTTTTTTCCTTTTTTTTTTTACAGTGTAGGCTGATTATTTGGTGAATAACCAAGTTAATGCTAAAATGATATCGCTAATAACTGACAACATAGCCAGAGAAAAGTGAGCATAACAGGCTACATTCAAGCTAGCTTTAGTTTCCTTGTTAATTTACCATAGATTGTTGGTGTAGTTTGTTTTGGATGGAGATAACAGGCTGGTGGAATGGTCAGCAGGGAAGTGACAGGACACAGTGGGTTTCTTGGCTGCTCAAACCTAAATCCCTGTTGGCTGTCTTTGTTTCTTTGACAGCATCTTTGTGGGGTTTTTGTGCATTTATTGAATGATACCGTGCATTTCTGAATAGGCTTGTGCCAGTTAGAAAATTTTCCAACCGGTTTGATTTAAAGCCAAATATCTAACCGAACCGATATATCGAATTATATACCTAATTTTACCACTGGGGGTCGCATTTGAGATATTTTTCCCAATAAAAGCCCAATATAGGTGTAATGCGCTTCCAATCCACTAGGTGGCGGTAATGCTGTATTAACTGCCAATACACACAAGGTTATACAAGAAGAAGAAGACGCAGAAGGACACCAAGGAACCTTCCTCCGACTCCACTGCAGTGTTGCCAACTTAGCGACTTTGTCGCTATATTTAGCGACTTTTCAGACCCCTGTAGCGACTCTTTTTCAAAAACACGACTAGCGACAAGACTTCTGGAGACTCTGTTGTGAGAGCATGTATCATTCTTATTCTTCTCAACAAGCAACAGATGCTGCCATGGGCCCTTCCCTCACCCCAAATCACTCACAGACGGCCCAGTCCTCCCTCCCAGCAGCAGTCAGAGCAGGAGATGTTAACCCCTCCACATCCAGACCAAGTCAATTGCGCATGCGCGGAACCAACGCTGGCTGATCCCGACCTGGTTTACAGTCAGGGCAGGAGGTAAATGTAAAATTTTCTTTGTCTAATATAAATCACTGAAAGAAGGTTCATTTGTAGTTCTAAACATATTCAGGGTGTTTTTTTACTCAGTTTTTGTCTCTCTCACGACGTTATTCCTCTCTCCTACAGCAGCCATTACAATTACATGCATATGGACAATTATGCAAATAAGGTGATGACGCCATTTAGCGACTTCTAGCAACTTTTAGGACAGCCAATAGCTACTATTCTTACTGAGGAGCTGGCAACAGTGGTCTGCTCTCTCAGTGGAGACACGGCGGTTGAGAGGGCCGAGCGAGAGGACGTTCCTGTAGTAGTTCCAGTTCTCCAAATAGTACCAGGAACTTCTTCAGTGGAAACGGGTTACTAGGGCAACAAACTGAATGACTGCTGACTCCTTTGCACTTTCCCCTGCCCCCAGTGAAATTTGATCTCTCACAGCAGCAGCAGACAGCTGAGCTCCCTCTGAAGCCTCTGTGACAAACTAAACAAGACACTTGTAGGCTCCTCCACTTCATTTATAAACAAACATAAACCTTATTAAGTTGTCATAATGCACGTTACAATGCAAGATAAGTTGAATATAGTCCCTTGACACGCCGCCGATGTGAAAAGCTTCGTTTTTTTTCTCTCATCCGGTTTATCCGGTTGATGTGAATTAAACCGGTTGGAGCTCTTAAACCGGACCAAATCGGTTAAACCGGAAATTGGCACAAGCCTATTTCTGAATGTTGTCATCTTGGCGAATGATAAATGATTTTGGCTTCATATTACGGTTGCCCTCTTTAGCTCTGCGTCATATGACAGTAGGTGACTAATTGCTGCATTAATTCTGAAAATGTAATGTGGTCACAGCTGTGTGTCCTTTACAACAGCTTTGAACCATGCCCCCAGGAACAATGCTGGGCTTTGAAGCCAGTTTTACATAGTGGTCACATGTGGAATCACAAATTCCAGGTCCATCACATGATGCAGTAGGGCCCAAAAAGACTTCTACCCATTGTGAAAGAGGTGTCTGTAAATTAATGGATATGTTTTTTTGAACATCACCACCCTGAGAAATGACTTGCTTTACTATGGGGAATGAAAAACCATTCATGATTAAATTTTATCCCCAACCAAGTTGGTGGAGGGCTAAAGTGGAAGTTAGCCGCTCAGCTGGCAGATGTCTCTAGTGCCCTTGGTCTGTGGGTCCCATGATATGGAAGATCCAGGTAATTTTATACCGTGGAAATCAAGATTTTTTGGCTTCATGCGCCACTGAGCAACTTTCTGTACCCAGTTCTCTTTATACATCCATGCTTTGAGCACAGCTCAGACAAGGACTGGAATTATCCATTTTATAAGTTGAGTATAGTTTTAGTAATTAATGGCTAATTATTCTCCCTCTAATGTTGCAGCAGGCTCCTCTCTGCAAGGCAGGACCAGGTTTCTGAACCGAGACCCAGGGACTCAGCAGTCTGTGCAGAAAATCCAACCTATTAACCTGGACCAGGATCCTGATCAGGAGGTCGTTACCACAACCAAAACTGAGGTATCTGTTCCACAGTGCACCATCATATTGGCCTCATATAGCCTTTACATGTGCTTAAGATTTTCGGTGTATTGTAAATATTATAGACTGTCTTCACCCTTAAACTCTGTCATAGAGAAGATGGCATATGACCCTGCACTAATGCACTCATGTTCAACCTGGAGCTCATGGACACGAGACTGCTGTCAGAGCAGTCCATAGTCACTGACATATTAATCATTGGTTAATAAGCTAAGTCAAACAAAAAAGACAATATCAACCACCTGTTTATATAACAGAAAATTAATTTGCTTGTTCTCTGGACTATTGGTTGGACAAAAGAAGACATTTGAAGATGTCACTTTGACTCTGAGAAACTTTATACTGTAATTTTCTTCTACATTTTGTAGCGTTAGGCATTAATTAATACCAAAATTCATAATAATTAGTAAAGTGTTGATGAAAGATGAAAGAGAGATATTGCACTTAACTAGCTATGACAATAAAGTTTCATAGCAACATATCCCGACGCCCTAGGTGGCGCTATAGGATCAAAAGTGACAATATCGTGCTTTCTAGCACAAACAACACATCTAAACTCTCACTCACCCACACACACCTGTCTTTTTTTAGCTAATACCTAACGTTAGCCTACATAGAGCAGTCATTTTCAAACTTTTTCAGTGATGGACCACCTGAGAAATAGTTTTTCAGCCAAGTGACCCTTAATCAGCGTAAAGCAATTTTGGTTGAAAGTAAGACCACCAGTGTCATATTTATTAAACTTTGTAACTGAAAAACATTTGAAAACAGTGACAGACAGGCACAAAACCGTTTAAAACCACATCAATAATATAAAATATAGAGAGAAATAACTAAAAATGCTTGCAAAAAAGAAGAAATAATTAACTAAATTATAATAAAGATTGAAGACAAAATAGAATGAAGAAAGAATTAACTTACTTAACGTAATTTAAATGAACATTTCTGCACATATAAATAATTATCAACTCAAAGTGCCCTCTTTTGGGATCATAATAAAGATTTGTTCTCAAGATGAAATCATGAACTTAACTGACAAGTGATGTCTTTATTTATTATTGTTCTTTAAGTCACGGTTATAAAATGTAAATATCTAGTTGGTTTACAAACTTTGTTATTATGTTCAGGGCAAAGTGCAGAGATAATATACAAAATGTCTTTGTTTTTAGTTCAGAGGACAAGGATCATAGAAGGAAATTTAATTTTTACCATTAGTATGCAAGAACCACTTTATGGAAAATGTGTATCTCGGTATGTGGTGTTAAACTGGAATAAATTGGATGATGATTTAAAGGGTTATATTAATATTTCTCGGTTCAAGAGAATATATAAAGAGAAAATAATTAGAAAATATGAAGGTATCAGGTAAATGTTATTGAATGATGTGGTGCTGTGTATGGCATCTGATTATTTTGTCTCTCTTAATTTTCTTGTAAATACAACAGTGCTGGAAAAACAGACAGACAGACAGATAGATAGATCTATGTATATTTATTAATTAATTTTTTCGATAAAGGGGCTGGTAAAATAAGATTTTTTTTCTCCAAACCCCTTTTCGGTCATGTAATGTAATGAAACATATGATTTGTGATTTGAATGTAGACTGTGTGTTTCCATGAGCNTTTCTGGAAGAAATTTTTTAATTTTAACCCAAACCATCATCTTTTTCCTAAACCTTCTGGACTATCTGGTTTAAATCCCTGAAGGCAAACTTCTCCAAACAGCCATAAAACATGGATTAACAACAAGATCATTTATCAACAGAATCAAATTCGGCTCAGTAATAACTGTCAAGATTCAGAGACAAAACAATTGTTTTTTGCTAGTGACTTATCATAAGCTTAAGCATGTTTAAGCTTAAGCATAAATGAGCCTAGCTGCTTGTGGACTTTTTTTTCTTTACTCGTTGATTAATTAATTACATGTAACGTTATTATTTTTCTAACTCACTGTTGCTTTGAGTCACTGTATCTCCTGACAAATGCATGTTTTTTAGCCAAACATCATTGAAACAAAGCAGCTAATGTTGCTGTAGTGAGAAGCTAGCAGAATGATACGCATGTCCAGGCAGGTAACATTACGTTGTGTTTTATCTTGTAACAGCATTGTTTACATACACCACGTCTGTTGACCTGCATTTTCTCCGAAATCCAAAATATTTCCACACTGTTGATTTATTCCTGCGTAAACAACGTTATCTTTATTGTCTTTTTCTTGGCTGCTTGCTATCTGCCTGCTGCTGCTTGATGGTGACATAGGCTTTCAAAATAAAAGCGCACGCTAAAGATGACGATATGGATTAATGTTTTCATTTTGCATCAATGACATTGGATCGTGGATCATTGAATCAATATATCGATCCAGATCTATGGATCATTATACCCCTAGTCTATAACCTATTTTTAGTGGGTTTTCACGTGTTTAAGAAACCCGCATACACATGATAATTTGGGTGGAAAAGTGTCATAAGAGGCTAATTTTTAAGCTAGCGCAAATATAGTGGTTGTATCTTGTGATGGTGACTTGTAAAACCAGACAATCTAAAACATCATTGATACCAGCCATGTAAGCATAGCTTGTTGGGAAGGTGGCCATTTTCAAAGGGGTCCCTTGAGCGCCCACCTCAAGATATCTGAATGGAAATAAGTTCTATGGGTACCCACGAGTCTCCCCTAAACTCAAGAAAGCTTCCTTTCAGTTAATATTTTGTTCCTTTCAATCAACGGGAGGGGAATCAATTTATTGACCACAGTTTGTCTGACTCTGGTATGATAGGGGGCGATATGCCCCCTTTCAGCTTGTTAATATTGGATCTTTTTTCCGGTTGACCTATTTCGTCACAGACAAAACAATTGACAGTTAAGTTAACTACGGTTAGCTAGCAGCAAACTGGTACCGTGTTAGACAACTTTACAGCTCTGTACATATTGTATTGTTTTGTATTCTTTGGATGTAGATTTCACCATATTATTACTGGCCTCTTCTTCTGTTACACATTTAATGCTATAATTTCTGGGTTAAAGCCTGGGGCGGAAACTGTGGAGTGTGCACAGAGCGTCAAGGCCAATTTGGGTCTGATTGATTGTATACATGCAGGAGTAATTCAACTCCCAATCACATTAACTGGTGTGCATTAGTGCCAGTCACTTTACAAAACCGTGGCAAGATGGAGCCAAAGAAGTTATCCCCATTAGTTCTAGTACACCTAATGTTAATAGAAAGACAGAAAAAAATCTCATCATGATGTAGTTACATTATAACCACTCATGTATCTGACATCAACAAGGATGTGAATTGATAAGATATTTTTATACCAGTGCCATTATTCGTTCTGCTTATCAACCAGATTCTTAGCCAAATTCCCCTAGTGATTCCTGATCAGTTTTCTATGTGGGGAAAAAAGGAGGCCTACTTGTGATTTCGGTGTAAATACAAGTGTTTTATCATCTCTGAGTCTGAAAACAGTGTAGCAACAGTCTTTCTGTCATCTGAAATGGATGAAATGAGAGAATATTTGTGTAGTGTTTGTTTTCATTTAGTTTTCTTAGTCAAAGAAAAAATCTGCTAAGCCTGCCTGCATGGTGATAAGATTATTATAACATTACCTTCAGTAACAGATATGCTACTGGGTTAGGAAGAATAGGCACTTGTTCATATGGCATTCCTGGAATTTAAGCCGTGTTGCATAGCAAGATGTTTCAGCATATTTCTGGTGCTTCCACCCTTAATTAAAATTATGGTTTTACAGACATACAAGTAGCACTGTTGTCATTTTTCTTTGTGAAACAAAGCCATACTTTGGACCGTTTCTTACCGTCTGCCATGGCACCTTCGTGTTGCAAGTTTCCAGCAGCGTACAGTACAGGCCAAAGTTTGGACACACCTTCTCATTCAATGCGTTTTCTTTATTTTCATGACTATTTACATTGTAGATGCACGAGTTTGACCTAAGAAAAATGTGCCAGTATCAATCAAAGGAATTGATAAGTTCAGAGGCATACAATTCTCATTGATCAGACACTTTGGAACTGGTTCTCAACTAGAACTGGTTTTTGATTCCCAACATTTACCATCTGTGTTTTATGCTCACTTTCCCCTAGTTGTTATCACTTGCTATAGATGTCTTTTTTTTTCCTTTTCTTTTTTACAGTGTAGGCCGATTATTTGGTGAATAACCAAGTTAATGCTAAAATGATATCGCTAATAACTGACAACATAGCCAGAGAAAAGTGAGCATAACAGGCTACATTCAAGCTAGCTTTAGTTACCTTGATAATTTACCATAGATTGTTGGTGTAATTTGTTTTGGATGGAGATAACAGGCTGGTGGAATGGTCAGCAGGGAAGTGACAGGACACAGTGGGTTTCTTGGCTGCTCAAACCTAAATCCCTGTTGGCTGTCTTTGTTTCTTTGACAGCATCTTTGTGGGGTTTTTGTGCATTTATTGAATGATACTGTGCATTTCTGAATGTTGTCATCTTGGCGGATGATAAATGATTTTGGCTTCATATTACGGTTGCCCTCTTTAGCTCTGCGTCATATGACAGTAGGTGACTAATTGCCGCATTAATTCTGAAAATGTAATGTGGTCACAGCTGTGTGTCCTTTACAACAGCTTTGAACCATGCCCCCAGGAACAATGCTGGGCTTTGAAGCCAGTTTTACATAGTGGTCACATGTGGAATCACAAATTCCAGGTCCATCACATGATGCAGTAGGGCCCAAAAAGACTTCTACCCATTGTGAAAGAGATGTCTGTAAATTAATGGATATGTTTTTTTGAACATCACCACCCTGAGAAATGACTTGCTTTACTATGGGGAATGAAAAACCATTCATGATTAAATCATTTTATCCCCAACCAAGTTGGTGGAGGGCTAAAGTGGAAGTTAGCAGCTCAGCTGGCAGATGTCTCTAGTGCCCTTGCTCTGTGGGTCCCATGATATGGAAGATCCAGGTAATTTTTGGCTTCATGCGC